ATCTGTATATCTGTATATCTGTATATCTGTATATCTGTATACGGAGAAAGAATACCAGTACACAAGTCTCTTCCTACGTAGGAAGGTTTACAGGGGTTCCATTTAATTCTCCAGAGCCTAGAGGTAGAGGTCGAGGTAGAAGAGGAGACTCTCAAGAGTATCGCTACACCTATATGTATAGCCATGGCTATATGAAGTTGTATATACATTATTTTGACTAGATGGATCCCCCTTCCACCTCTCTCTTCTCTGTGACTGACGGGTCCACCCATTCGTCCATCCTCCATCCATCATCCGTCATCCGTCCATCCATACATCATTCATAGAGAGATACCGGGTATATACATAGACCCCCAAGAAAGAACCGCTAGCATCACCAACCATCCACCCACCCGCACACTGATCAATGCATGCGCGTTCATGAAATCCCCCAGTACCCCAATAACTCCGTCTCCCTATTCCCAAGAGATCGTGTCATTCAGAGGTCATTAACTCATCCCATGTCCCGTGTCCATCTCACGTGTCTTGTCCGCGTTAGTATCATGAATGTATAGCCAGTCGCTGGCCGCTAGCCGGCCGGTACACACCAGTAAACCGGCCAGCCAACGTTTTTTTCTCTTCTCTTTTTTTGTTTTTAGTTCTTTTCCTCTCTTCTCCCCGGTAAGTCAAAAGAATAAAAGTCGTAAAGTCATTAGAAAAATTTTCCCCCGTTTCATCAAATATATTTCGTAGTTTTCCCCGATCCTCAAATAGAGTGGGTAGTTTCCCCCAAATTCCAATAAAAATTGGCGAGGTGTCCGTGTTTCGCCAGGAGTATCATCGTAAGAATAGTCAGTCGAGCAGCATGGTCCAGAGTTGAGTGAAATATGTGTTCTCGGTCCGCGGGTCTGCGTCGACTTTTTCAAGCCAGCATGGCATGGGTTTGTGTGGGAGAGAGCACGCCACTCAAGGGGTGGTTGCCGAATGGATAAATAGGAAGCCACAGCTCTTCATATACCGTCCGGTACCGTCCTGTGCTGGGGTAGATTAAAAATAGATGTAGTCTGCAGCAGTCACAAGCCAGGCTTCGTGCGCGGCTTCGAGAAAGGTCTTAGGGTCTTCGTCGCTCGAGGGAGAACTCTGCTGGTAGCTCGGTAAAAGCTTTGGCCCTGGTTAATGCAGAGGAGTATTGACCTCAAGTATCGTCGTCCCTGTTCGACACTGCGTCGCCATGTCAGGAATCGTTGTTCTTGTCGTCTTGGTTGGCAACAAAACTTCCAAGGATCATTTTGTTGACCGAGCCCGTCCAGGGGACGTGGTCAATCATGTCACTTTGGGCGCAAATCGTACAGTCAGTATAGTTCACAACAACTCTCGGACGGGAGAGAAGGGTTAAATTGATTGCAGAAGCGATAAATAACTTACGGGACATCGTAGATCTTGGAAAAGTCATCATCCAGCCTCGACAGTTGGGCAATCGCCTCTGGATAGTCGCCAAACCGGATAAACGAGATGCTGAATCGTCGGTCCTCCATATGGTTCCCGTTGAGAGCCCTTTTCAGGAATTTGGCAATCTTGACCTCGACTGGGTTCTCGGCCTTGGTGCCTCTCCAAAGGCCGTCGGTGAGCACTAGGAGAGTCATGCGTTTGTTCTTGTAGCTTCGCAGGTATTCGTCAAATACCACCCCGAGCGTCTCCGTCATATCTGTCTTGACCTCTGAGGCGGCGTCTAGGGGTATCGTCGGTGTTTTCTCCTCCATCAGGCTCGCAAAGGCTTTGGCAGCTTTTTGCCCCTTTTCATTGTATGGTCGTTGAGGCCCGCTGGTGAAAACCACGTCCAGGCCATCGTCATCGAGGGGAGCAAGCTTCATGGCCAGGGTTACCAAGACATACGTCGCTGCAAACCAGAAACGACGCATGCTGGAGCCGTTGTCGATGATGAATTTCTACCGAAGCCTGTCAGATGGACATCAGAATACAACGGACCCAGGAGTAGAACCTACCATGTCTCGGTCGACGATGAAATCCTTCAAGTACTTGTCCACCTTGAACTTGCGAGTGAGGCGACTACGCCCATGTTCTAGCTCCATCCTGACACGCTGGATATCATAGTGGCCATATAATGGAGTCGGCACGGGCGGAGCGGCGTATAGATCGGCAAATGAGATCGAAGAGGTAGCAAGCTCGAGAGACTGTGTTGTCTCGAGCTTGGAATCCCGCCGCCTCGAAGTTGACAGTTCTTCTGCTGCCACGTCCGGCGGTTTCTCGGGAGTATAAGATGGGACTTTGCTGAAATGATGCTGCTGGTCTCCGGGGGCCTGAACAAGTGGTTCATACAGGGGCATCTTCCCCCACGCTTTCTCGCTTTGCGACATACTTCTTCTGTCATCAAAACGTGCCTTCCCGTGAACATCGTCTCTGACTTGCTCCGCTGGGCCTACACCGGTGCTGTCAGGATCCTCCACGGCCTGACCAGATGTATGACGAGACATCGGCTCCAATTCAGATGGTCTCCAGGAGCCATGGTCGGATTTGACAGCAGTTCCATTGGATTTTGATGAGGGAGATAGTCGAAGGGGTGACACAGAGTTTACATCGTCGTGGCTATCTATATAGCCACGTGGACTCTCATGCACCTGCAAGCCGTCAAGATATGAGGAGCCGCTTCTGAGATGGGGCTGCGGCGATGCTTGTAGAAGTGCGGGACTTTGCTCTCCCAAGATTTGTAATTCCTCGGTCAACATCTCTGCACGATGGGCTGTTTTCGCTGGAGGTATATTGTCAAGTCGCTGCGACTTGCCTATGCGTCCAGACGTCTTGATCGATTTGGCATGCTTTGGCTGGCTGGCCTGAGCTGCGTTGGCCGGTGCCTCCTTGTCAAAGTTGTACAGGTCTGTGAGGAGCGAATCCGCGACACGTTTGCCGCGCTCGTCTCGATCAACTTTGAATTTGGCGACAGACACGATGTCGTCTAGCTCTTCACATAGCTTTGCAGAGCTGACTCGGTGTCCAGGGCTTTCCAACAGCATGTGTCCTTCCACAAGGTCAAGTACCCGGCAAGAGATGTTGTCCGAAGTGCGCACTATGCTCCGCAGATAGTGATGCCATTGAAGAACCTCTGGCAACACTTTCCGACCATTGTGGAAAGCGTCATGGGCCGTTGGACATGCGGTACTGGCCGTTGGGTCAGCCTGTCGCCGGTCTCGGAGGCGTTTAATGGCTGCTTTTCTGATAAAGTCGTACTGGAGTATTCCCTGCTGGCCCAGGATGACCCAGGTTGCTGCACGAGATAGCACACATCCAAAAGACCAAGTGTCAATGGTCTGACCATGAGGGGTGCGTGTCTTGAACCGTGACTGATCTGTCTCAGGGGCGCCTGTCATAGAGGAGTTAGAACCAGAGCTCTTCTCAGCCTTTTTTGAGGAATCCACAGTACCATAACTCTGAGTGCCGCCATCCATATACTCCATAGGAATGGCTTGACTCCCTTTTTTCTTGAACTTGGTGAACCCAAAGTCAACCAGTTTGAATTCGCCATGAACCCTCAAGATATTGTCTGGCTTGACATCGGCGTGCCAGCTGCAAGGTCAGTGACAGGAGTCATGCGAGGGAGGAGGGTCCTGTAGCATACCCATAGTATTCCTCTGTTTCACCGTCCCGGTCGATTTCGAGATTGTGTATGCGTTGCAGTGCCTCTGCGACTTGGAACAACGACTCCCAGAATGAGATGATCTCAGGGGACCGCACTGGGGGGCTCGAGAACTCGTGTGCAAAGAATTCGTCCAAGTCAAGCTCTCCGAATTCGAGTAGGATGTTATAGGTGTACCGTCCCGGGGTTTCCTCATAAGAATAGTGGCCGATATAGCGAACCATACCTTTTTGGTCCTCCAGGCCGGCGAAGGCGTCCATCTCCCATTCAAACATTGCTCGATTCTCAGAGCCGTAGGATTTCAACGCCAACTCATAGAACTAGACAAATGTCAGACACGAATGCATGACTGGACCCTCGACTAGGCCAGAGACCTACTCACCTTTCCTTTGTCTTTGTATTCAACCATTGATGCCCGAAGAAATTGCTTCAAATCCTCGGCGATGCATTCAGCGGGGACGAGAACTTGGAACACCTCTGCTGTTCCACCCTTGCCATTGACAGGCTGACGTTTGTAGTATGGAAAGATACACATTCCACCAAAGTCCCCGTGCATCCGTCGTTTGAGAAGCACAGGGCAGAAGAACCACTTTCTTTTTTCAAAAGCGTCGATAACGGTATCTGGTTCGGAGATATTGGCGCGTGTCAAGTACTGCTCCAGATACTTGTAGTGGTGCTCCGTCGATGTAGTACTCAGACTAGCGTCAGTTATATTGGCAAGGCGGAAGAGGTCCAGGAGGTGTCCGTAGCCAATGTCAAGGAGGACACTGAAGACGATGACGGCGCAGCCATCGCTGCTGGAGACATGTTCAGCCGTTGGTATAAAGGTCGCATTGGGTCTCGGGCGCCAGACTTCGGTAAGGAGTCGTTTCAAGTTCGTGGCCTTTTGCCCTTCTCCCACGGATGCCATCCATTCCTGGAGTTGGCCGGTCTTGATATAGTAACGGCCACAAAATGTTTCTTGTTTCCAACTGCCCCGCAGATTCGCTTGGAACTCCTTGAGCAGATCGGACGGAGCGGACGACCTGGCTCGGGTATTCATGTTGAAGACAGGCACAACAAGGACATTAGCTCGGTCGCAACGAGAATCCGGTAGGATCGAGGTGGGAAAGGGAGTCAGAATGCGCAGGTCAAGAACAGGCTGCGGCTGGCATAAAGAGCAAAAGGCAGCTTGTGCTCGAGATTGCAATGAGGCTGCAGGAGGGGCCTGGCCAGGTTTAATACTTCTCAGACCATACGAGTATGTCGAGCATGCCACTAGGGCCCGAACGATTCTAGTAGCATGCTGGCATGAAGCCATGCTTTCAGCGGGCCTTTCGACCCGGCCCACGGCCCACTTGCGAGTTGCCTACCATGGGAGACGCCTTTGAGTCCTGGCGGCGTTCGTGGAGCCAGCTGGATGCCTCTCCCTCGAGTGTGTATTGGTCGGGTCAGCCGCATTTCCTTCAGCTGAGGCTCCAGGTGGAGGCAGCGCGAGGTGTCTTATTGGTCTCCCCGGGGTTACTCGCTAACAGCTTCAGGGATGTGGCCTCGGGCGCGTCCTTCCGCTCTATGGAGGCCTGGGGAGGTCAGCGGTTTAAGCGTATGTAGTCTTCCAAATTGGGGCATTTGGTGAAGCCATCGCCCGTCCAGAGAGGGGTCAGAACCGATGTGTGTGTGTGTGTGGGTGTGTTGGGGGGAAACATGTATATATCTAGGTCACTAGTTGATGGTGGTCGCTTGTCTAGTTGCCGGAACAAGTACCCCGAGTAGATTTTGCTGCAGGGCTCATCTTGGTCTTCTAGAATCTGTTTCTTGGGACCGAGTCTGATAGACCATTTTGATGACTGAGGACAGAATGGGAAAGATGGGCCAAATGCCACCTGAAGAAGACATGCGTTTCTAGACGGGCTCGTAACCTAAGTCTGCGATTGGAGATCACAACGCAAACCCAGCCAGGCTCAGACCACACTGCCAGCGTTGTTGACAGTTGGTAGTATCGTGTCAAAGTTGGGGTCTGACATAGAGCGAGTGAGATTCCGTGGCTGTTGCTTTTGACTTGGATCATCCCTTCCCCATCTCTTTTTCTCCGCAATCCTAAGGGCCCAAAATGCTCCGATGAATGTGAAAAAGGTCAAAGGCAGGGTCACTTGTAACCATCTATACATTGCCACACTGGAGAAGACGCCATCGGTAGGCGGTCCCCCAGCCTGATCCTGATACTTGATAATATCGGTGCTGAAGAAAGTCTTGTTTTGTCAGTAGGGAGATCTATTCGGGTGGATGTTGGCCGTGCACTTACCGAAACAAATGTCGCGGGGAGATAGACTAAGGTGACAATAGTGATGATTCGCATGACAATGGCTTCACCTTCCATGTTCAGGTTCAATTCTTCCATGCGCTCTGCTGCTTGGGTTTGTAGCAGTTGGATGATCTAGGAGGACTGTCAGTTCTGGTTCTCTCGCCCTTTCTGCATGTGCGACACTAACCAGTTCTTTTCTGTCTTTGGTGATCTTGTTCAGTAGATTCGCCCGAACAATTTGCAGCTTCAAGTTCGATATCATGTCGGTGGCCTGGGCTATGAATGTGGTTATGTCGGTGTCGCATTCATCTCGCAGGGTCTGGGGTATCTCTTTCTTGGTCCTGAGGCTGTCGTAGAAGTTGCACAAAGACTGCATGACGTCCACATTGGCTTCCAGCAGCATGATGGCTTCACTAATCTGGTCTTCCCGCGCCGTAACGGTTTGGAGGTGTCGGATAGTATAGGTGTACTGCGCTCGGCCTGAACCACGGAGACCAAGGACTGCCATAGAAGTCTCCTTTTCAAGCAAAGACTCAAGCCATAGTATGTACCACCGCCAGTTTGCCGTCGACCAGTGAGCGAAGAGCAAATGGGGGGCAAGGCTGGCTCGAAAACTGTCCTGTAACGTGTCAAATGTCTTGTTCTCTGGCCTCCCTTCCGGGCCCGTCAACGACTTGTAGCGTTCGAGCAGGTCGTCCCCCCCTTTTGTCACTATCCAAAGCGTTGTACCGTAGACGATGTCGAACCGGTGATGTATTGCGGCAGGCTGAACTGACCACTCGTTCAAACTGATGTTCTTGGGGTCTTCAGACTTCAAAGTCACCGTTTTCAGATTGTAGCACAGCTGGTAGAGCCGTCCACTTCGCCCGAGACTTGGGACCGGTAGTCCACGAGGCGGATCGGACAGAAAGCTTTGTTGGCGAAAGCCACTGAATCTTCGATCTCTTGGCTCGCTCTGTGCACCAAAGACAAACATGAAGTCTAGGTAAATAGGCATGACCTGATGGTAGGAGAAAATCTCGCACATCAGTTGACGTGTGATGTTCAGCGGAGCCCGGGAGTGCTGGCCCTTGATATATCTAAAATTCTCAATGATGGTGAACTCTACACAATGGTGACAAGCTCACATGAATCGGGACCCTGGATCTCTTCTTTGTGCAATCATTACCGACTTTGCCGGGTTATTCGCATCAGGAACCAGTTGTAAACCCAAGAAGTTCCTCGCCTTGTCTCCATCGTGCGCATTGAGTTTTTGCAGCTCTGGTATGACTGTTAGTTATGCAACGTAATGGAGGAGTGGCAATGGCACCATTTCCAGCTGCATTGTGTAGGTCTCGAAATGAAACCTCAATATCCGCATCAGGACCACAGTCGACGAATAGATCATTTTCGACACGGTCTAGCAGCCGTTTATATATCTGTAAATCGCCAGAGTAGGTGTCTGTGCTGCTAGAAAGCAGGTTCTCCGGATACTGGGCCCAACTCAGATATGATTCCTGCAGCTTCGATGGGATCTGTAGTTCTTGCATGGCTGAAGCGAGAGAGTGTGTATGAGAGTGTGTTGATACAGAAGAGTGTTGACGGGGACGTACGGCTCTCTAGTTATATTGCTCCCTCTCGTTCCGCCACCTCGATGGCGGTGCCCTTGTCGGTGAATGGGCATGGACAACGCTGCGCTGCGGCAACAATCGCCTACTGAGCCGTGCTGGCATTCTTCAGGACGAGGATTCCTGAGCATCGAGGTTGGAAAACAGAAGGAGTCACTCTTGGCTACAGCGCCTGGTGTCAGTGGCGGGCGCATTTCACTTCGTACAAGCCGAAATAAGCGAATCAATAGAATGATTTGCCCAACAAAGCCTCCACAGCCATGAGGGGAAAGCCACAGCAATACCTTACCCACACTTGTACGGTGTAGAGGGGGTCTGCAGGGACAAGGGATAGGCAAACTAAGCACCCAACTCAGCCTCCTCACCAGCCTCAGCCAAATCTGCCCGCTTGAACCACTTTCCACAGGGCCTCGCCTTCTGCAAACCTGTTTTGCCGCTCAGAGCAGCGGCTCGGTCCTTGGTGGAGATCATCTGCCGAACAAGGCATCCAGCGTAGAATGGTGTTACTTGCGCTCGGGGGAGACCGACTCACGTTTCTCTGCCCGAGACGTGGCCGGCGCGTGCAGGTTGGTGTTGGCATCCGTCGCACCGTCCCTCAGCCGTTGTAGCTCCTTCTTGTCCACCTGGTCGACATTCAGCACAAGGCGTTCCGGCCAGTGTGGTTCAAGGCGTTAAATAGAATCCATTGAACCTTACATCATTCAAAGGCTCGGGCACATCAAAGACCCATTTATCGCCCACCTGCGACACCACAGAAGATTAGAACGGAGCATGACACAGGCGTTGCTTTGACCCAAACATACGCGCTCTTCGTTGAATTTGAGCCCAGGAAATTCTGATTGTGGGAATCGTCGCTCGAGATATCCTTTGAGCTTTTCCCATGTCATGCCGTTGTACACGCCGTATCGCTCCCGGTAGACTTTGTATTCAGCGTCCTTTTTCTTGGCTTGTACGGAAAATGACTCGGTCAGTCTGCGGCCCAAGCTCCGACCATGATTACTACTGTCGCCCGTGGTCCTGCGTCGCATATCGGAAGAAGACATATTGCCTGTGATGATAGAGAATAATCCAAGAAAATGGGCAAAGGAGTCGAGTTTTCAACCTCGTCCATCCGCATACCCGATCAAGACAGGGGAGGGTGTAGGACTCCAGTTGACCGGTGTGCGACACGAGCCTATGCGGGCATGTGAATAGGATTGTTGTGCGCCGAATCGAGATCCATTGGTACGCTCTCGCAGGAGAGTCCAGTCAATGTGGCGTTAAACAATGTCCAGTTATTGGGCACCCGCATGTGATTGTCTTGGGGAAGGCATGGTTGTGCTGTAGACCCTGGAAGAATCAGCAATCAGCAGGGTTGATGCGGTTCAGGTGTGGCATGCTCCCTTCAGGGCTTTGCAATTCCTTGACGCCCTAGTCTGCCACTGATAGGAAGACTTGGAAATAAGCCTGAACAGTACACAGGCTCAAGCAGACCACGGTGGCCCAGTCGGCGGTGTCGCGGGCTGTTTCGGTTTGGCGCTTTTGTGAGAGCTTCAGCAGCATCATTGGACTGGTTGACTGCCCAATATCGTCTGTGAGGGGGTTTTCTAGGGACAACAAGTGTTCACATGAGGCTCTCGAGAGGGTTTTGTCCAGAAAGTGTAAGTGAGTCTGACTACCCTGTAATGTGCTGCTGCGTCTGCCCCGAGCATCTGTCCGCATGGCGCAGGCGAAACCTAGGGATCCGACTCCAATCAAGCAGGAAACACTCCCTACCAGCAATCATCATGTTCGCAACCACGTCTTTGTAGGAGTGCCCATGGCTCGACATTCGCCAATACACCGTGGGTCACTATTGGGGCTATAATTCTAATCGGTGAACAGCCTATTGCGACTGTAAAAGACCAGTTGCCTTGCTCAATTGGACTTTACTCTATACCTCATCTATATGATTTTGGAACATCCTCGTCATCCAACAAGCTCATCAGAATCATAGCACGTAGCTTTAATCACCCTTAGCCGCACGGCTCGCTCGAGGGTAGGATCTCGCGGATGGGGTCTGAAACATTCACCGTACCTAGGCAGTCGGAAAGGCACAACAGGTCGCCATCGCGCGCATGGTTGTCCACGGCAGGATCTGGAAATTGATATCTTGGTGATGATCATCCGCAATAGCTCGCAATGGTAGCAACAATTTGATGTTGGCGGTCGGTGCATGTAAAAGTGTTGAGAGTACCACCTAAAGGTCAAGCATTCGGATATTCTGGTCATTTGATACTGGAAACTCCCGGCCAATCAGCGTCGATGCAAAAGATCTGATTCTTGGCGGCACCTCGGGCCCCTTCTCAATTGCGCCTCAAGTAAACCAGCTTCAACATCTCCTCAAGCTTCGACTTCGACGACCACAGTCTCTCTTCTCTTCCTTACACTCACCATGCGTCCCGTTCCGACATCAGCGGGCTCTGCCCTGCGCACCTGGACCCGACACACCCTTCCTACCAGCTCCACCTCCGCTTCCTCCTCATCCTCTCGTCTGGCCATCACAGCTTCAAACATCCCCCAGCGACGACTGGAATCCTCCGGGGCAGCAACATCCGGTAGCTCCAGCTTCCAGAGCCCTTTCCGGACGCCCAAGTATGATACACGCAAGATCCCCAGCTTCAAGACGTACGAATCCAAAAACTCCGAGGTCACGAATCGAGTCTTTCAATATTTTATGGCCGGGTCAATGGGATTGTTGGCTGCTGCCGGGGCAAAAAACACTGTGATAGGTAGAGACACCCATACTGGAGCTTCAGCATGCTAGGATCATGAGCCCATTGCCGCGGTGCGACGGATTCAAGTGGTACAGAGCTGACCGATTTGCGAAATTGCACAGACTTCCTAGAAAACATGTCTGCATCTGCCGATGTGCTGGCCCAGGCCAAAGTGGAAATCGACTTGGCCTCCATCCCCGAGGGCAAAAACGTCATCATCAAATGGAGAGGAAAGCCAGTTTTTATCCGTCACCGCACTGAAGACGAGATCAAGGAGGCTGAATCTGTTGAGTACGTCCTGGTTCTCCTTCAATTCCCGAAGGCTATGCGCACTCTTAGGAAGCTATCCTGTACTAATAACCTCCCACAGCCTCTCAATCCTCCGTGACCCCCAGAAAGACGCCGACCGCGTCAAGAAACCCGAGTGGCTTGTCATGTTGGGTGTCTGTACACATCTGGGATGCGTCCCCATCGGCGAAGCTGGCGACTTTGGTGGCTGGTTCTGTCCTTGCCACGGTTCGCATTACGATATTTCGGGACGAATCAGGAAAGGACCTGCGCCATTGAACTTGGAGATACCCGAATATGATTTCCCTGAGGAGGACAAATTGATCATTGGTTAGGAGAGTCGTTCAGGTGTCAAGCAGGAACAGACAGAAACGCTGGACTGGCTGATTATTGTGCTCCATTGGCGGCGTGGCAGTGGTCAAGGGCGAAGAGAACAAGCTAGGCACAGAACTTGGGAGTCACAAGTGTTATTGTACATATTAGACAGCAAGACGCTGGGAGATGTCGGGAGGCCGGTGGTCGGAGAACATCTAAGAGCATTCCATCACCTGGTTGTAAGGAGGGCGAGCAAGGACTGCCAAAACAAAATCCACATATATTATTTATTTTTCCATTTCATCAATGCCCCCACGGTGCTACCTGAGTCTCTACGTTCCGTCGAATCTCATAATCTAGGTCCAGGTTTTCTCCCTCTCTGACCCCAAGCAACCCTGGGGTATGTACCCGGGAGGAAAGGTGACATATATGTAATATATACAATAAGCTAGGTGAACTCATTCTGCGGGTCCCAGCTCTTAAAATGGACCCCAATAGAATATCAGAGTCAAGGCATCGTGGCTGGGTCAGGTCAGCTTGGGTCAGGGTAGAGTTGGTTAGGCTCAGGTGGAGTGCGAAATATGTATGTACATAACAAGGACCAACAGTACTGGACTCGGTAGATGCATATATATGTACATAAAGTCGTACACTACCGTGGCCGGAGGAGCACAAACAGGAGGCCCATGATGGCCATGCCACCGGCGACCCCTTCCATGGCGACGGTGGTCAGATCTCGCTGCGAGACGAGGAGCTTGTGGTCTTCGCTGAACAGTGCCCTCAGGGAGTCCTCGTACCAAGCTAGAGGCGAGTCCGGGGATGTCCAGCGTGAGAACCCGTGGACGGGCTGCGCAGAGGGGATCTCCTCGGCAGGGATGCCGGGAGGAAGCGAAGCGGGAGCTTCCACAGACACGGCCTCTTCAGCTTCGAGTTCACGTGCTGTTAGAGTTTCCGCAGCTGCTTCAATGTTCGATAATGGAGGTGGCGTTGGAGCTTTCTCGTCTGATGTCGAGCCCGTGACGGCGTCGACAATCTGTTCCGCAATGTTGTCCGCCACTGCCTCGACTTTCTCGCCGGTTGTCATGCCCGCCGCAGCTTCCGCCATGCTCTGGTTCGACTGTACTATTGTCATCTTGGATTCCTCTTCCCTTTCTTTGAGCGCCATCTCCACTTTCTCCTCGAAGCCCTTCACCAAGCGTTTCCGTCGCCATGGTTCCAAGACGACCTGGAAGATGAGGAACAACAACACGTTGAGTCCCATCAGTCCCCATGTGCCCCAAGTAGACATCTGCCTTATCTTGTCACTCCAAATTTGCTCTTCGTGATACCGAGCTAGGATCGCCTTCGCAAGTTTGGTGGACGCTTCCTCATACCGGGCTTCTGCGTCGCTTACTTCCTTTTGTGCGGCAGATTCCGCTTGCTCATTGGCGTGATCCGACCGATATAGGCTGGTGAATCTCTCCAAGTCTGCAGGCGACCACGTATGCTTCCGGTGCAGCAGATCATTGACTTCACGCTGCGTGGTACTGCGTTTAGCAATTGCTTCGCTGTAACGGTCCCGGGCTTCCTTCACAGCGGCACGACACTCCTGAACCACAGATTCCTGGCGTTCAATGTCGGTCTTCAGTGCTTCAATCCCCGAATAGCCTGTCAGATCATTGAGTCGGCGAGAGGCGGTAAAAACATGGGTTTGGAAGTTGTCCATAAAATGGCCAAAGCGTTGTTGAAGGTCCGCATAGCGCGAGGAGAGGGCCGACGGTAGAGGTTTACTGGGAGAGCCGGAGGACTCGGCGGGTTCTGGTTTATCGGGTCTTTTGCTTTCTTCGTATTTGGAGGCATGTACTATTGAAGAGGACTCGGGAATGGTGTGGATGATCGTTTCGTCTTGAGGGTGCTTGAGCTTGTGTGGCATCTGTGCAGCCGCATCGGCTCTTGAGTCGAGGCTCTCGCCTATTCGATCCTTCGCATCCTCTATCTCTTGATTGATATCCGACTTCTTCTCGCTATAAAACCGAGCTCGAACAGCTATTCCTGGCCGCTGCGGTGCCCATGGCTGCGCACTTGGTCGCACCAACGAGGAGAATTGACGGGGTAATGTGAGGGGTCGGTGGACAGGCTTCGCGGCTCGAAAGGCGGACCATAGTGCCTGGGACAGCCGTAGGGGAGCTTGCTGCATTGCGAGCAGCAATCTGATCTTGACATCCACCAAACCTGCGAACACAGTATTCAGTTTGCCGGTCCGGTAGAGCAGTAGTTAAACAGCTTCCTTTCCATTGATCGGCGAGTTTTTTTCGGTCGAGGAAGGTTTGCCGGTGCCGACAACGGGCGACACCAAGCAATTGATCCGCCAACGTCATAGTGTGGACGGAATTAGTGAGTGAGTCGTTAGTACGAGGTATTAGTTGATATTTGCAGTCTTGGCCGGGATTCCTCTTTAGGCTATCGCTGGCTATGCCAAACCTCCCCGCCAAAAAATGAAGATCTCAATGCTGGCCAAATTGAAGAGAGAAAATCTCTAACCATTGAACCCACCAGTGCCCACCCCTCGTGTCTGACCCGGCACTCACTCAAACTATACCCGGAAGTTCTCGTGCCGGACTCTCCCTCTCCCAAGACCGTTTTCAGTTGATCTTGTGTCCGGCGCAGAAAGACAAAACCGACATATAAGACTCAGCACTACAATATACACTCGGTCCATAAAGCGTCTTTCTTCGCCCTGCCGCCAAATCTGTGGCATTTCTGCACCCCCTCAATTCCTCACCTTTTCGACCGGTGTCATCTCAAGTCGAACCTCCCAAAAAGATGCCTTTCCCTCAAACCCTCGAGGCCAAGCCTCGAGTCATCTTCTTCACCGACTTCGACGGCACAATCACGCTCCAGGACACCAACGACTTCATCACAGACAACTACGGCATGGGCTACGAGCAGAGGCGGAAGCTCTTCCGCGCCGTCATCGACAAGACCGACAACTTCCGCAACACATTCCAGCAGATGGTGGACTCGTGGAACATGCCCTTCCCGCGCGTCCTGGAGATCCTCAAGGAGAACATCAGCCTGGACCCGGCCTTTCGCGACTTTGTCCTGTGGGCCCGCGAGAAGAAGGTCCCCGTCATCGTGCTGAGCAGTGGCATGGCCCCCGTGCTGGAGGCCCTGCTGAAGCATCTCCTGGGCGAAGACCTGATGCAGGACCTCGAGATCGTGGCCAACGCGACGCAGTTGCGCCCGCCTGAGAACTCGCTCGACAAGCCCAACGGCTGGACGATCCGGTACCGCGACGACTCGGGCTTCGGGCACGACAAGTCTCTCACCATCCGCCCCTACGCGGATGCCATCGCCAAGATGCCCGCGCACGAGAGGCCCACCTTGCTGTATGCGGGCGACGGTGTCTCGGACCTGAGCGCCGCGCGCGAGACAGACCTGCTCTTTGCCCGAGAAGGCATGGACCTTGTGACGTACTGCGAGCAGGAAGGCATCCCGTTTACGGAATTCAGCGGCTGGGACAGCATCCTCGAGGAGACAAAGGATATCTACGAGGGCGTCAGGACCGTCAAGAACCTCGCCGAGGAGGGTCTGCGCAGACACCGGACCAACTCTATTGAGTCTCACGGGGCGGTGAAGCCGACCATCAGATGAGAGCGCTGAGAGAGACACGCAATTTATAACATTGCCTGGCCTCGACACGGAATGGGATGGGATTGATGGCTTGCAACGAGGAAGATCATGCGTTAAGAATAGAAAGTGATATACAGGATTAGGTTGTAGAAGCCCTACAAGAACATCCCGCGACGGATTACAATAGACTAGGATAGACTTCGGATTCATATAGACCACGTGCAGTGATGGATAATCAAATGGCACATTTTGTTCGCCACACACATGGTACCCACCCCAGACTCAAAAGCACACTATTCCCCCCTCCATGTCTGCAATACCAAGATGACGTACTTTACTCATTGACCAAAAAAAATCACGAATGCTTTTCGTCATATTCATTCAGCGCCTTCCTCAAGACCTGTTCGTCCCTGGGCACCATCCGGACCGTGTACCGGCGCGGGACGCTGACGAGCTGTGTGGGATCCTGCACGCCGTTGACCGGGTGTGTGTCCACGACGCCAGTCCCCTCGGTCGGGCGGACGTCCTTGATCTCAAACGCGCTGAGCAGCCGCAGGTAGATGGTGTACATTTCGCGGTTGGCCAGGAGACTGCCCGCGCACATCCTGTAGCCGAGGCCGTACGTGAACAGCGGGGCGTCGGGCTGCTCGAGCCAGCGTTCCGGGCGGAAGACGAACGGGTCCGACCACACTTCCGGGTCCATGTTGCAGGCCCAGGCGTTGAGGAAGACGACGCTTCCCGCAGGGATCGTGTGTCCGTTGTAGACGACGTCCTTGACGGTGGCGCGCGGCAGGCTGAGCCGAAGCACCGTGTAGTATCGGAGGAGCTCTCTGACGAGGGCCACTATGTAGGGGATGGATTGGTCGTCGTACGCGTCACAGAGGATCTGGTCCTGAGGGTAGACCTTGCGAATCTCCTCGAGGGCCTTCTGTTGGATTTCGGGCCGTTGCGCAAGAAGGGCCATGGACCATGCGACCAAGGTGGTGAGTGTGTCCAGCCCGCCAGAAAGCATGGTAAGGGAAATGGAGATGAGTTCTTCGGCGTTGAGCTTCGCTTCCTTGTCGAGGATGACGTTGGCTTGGATGCAAGGTTGATGGATCCCCTTGGCCATCCTGTCGTCCAAGTCGTCGTTCAGCTTCTTCAGATATACGTCTCTTCTGCGTCGCATCTCCCGGGCATGAGCACTCCCAAAGCTGAACGGGTTCAGTCGTAGAAGCGGAATGTAGTCCTGCAGGTTCCCCGTGGTGGAGCGAAATTTGGACACTTCTTCCTCAACATAGGTGATTTCACCAAAGAGTTCGTCGTTCTGGGATGCCATGCGAGTCCCCCAGTTCAACGTCAATGCCAATGATAGCGACAGACGTTGAATCATCGGCATCGGGTCTACAGGAGTCAGTCCACCGTCTCCATAAGTGATGAACTCATTTAAGAAGTCCCGTGTCTCGACATCGATGTGTGGGATGTAGGTTGCCACACTTGGTTTGTTCAGCGCCGATGCGGCACCTTTTCTTCTCCGCTTCAAAGACTCCGAGAAAGGGGATGTTCCTATTGTTGTTCCGCTCGTAGAGCTCACCACCTTATGAAAAGTGTAGAACTCGGGTCTGGAGGCTAGGGCTTGCGAGTTCGCCCCAAATATCTCGCGGGCAGCTTTGCTTCCATTCACCACTATAACCGGGACATTGCCCAGCATGATTTGGTAGACGTTGCCATACTTTTGGGACCATAACCGGTATTGCTCAGCTGCGTTGAGGCGAATCTGATGGATGTTGCCGAGGACGGGTAACCCCGAAGGACCACCGAATCCTGGAATACGGGCTTGATGTCTTTGGATTTCTGTGATAAGCAGATACAGAAGGGCGCAAGCTGCTGCGAAGTATGCCGCGAATGCTATCGGTGCTTCTTGAGCGTGGCCCACCAAGAGTTTAAGTGTATTGTCGATCATCTTGGTACCCCTGAGAACGTTAGGCGAGCGGCAAGGCAAAGAGAGTAAGGATGAAAGGAGGAGAATAGTCTATACGACAATGGGGAGACTGGACAGAGAGATACCCGGTATATATCACGCATTAAACAATAGATCCACCCCGGAATTATGATGTGAGGGGGACGGCAGTGGGACTGTGGAGGAGATGCGAATCACCAACCAGGAAATCGTCTCATTCCGTGGTTGTTTTGTGGAGAGCGGAATCAGCACCGCTCCAACGTTGAGGCGGAGATCATCGCTAGCAGCATGTCCAGGATATAGCAACGCCCTCATTGGATCAATCTGCATGGTCAGGGTCAGTCGGTGGAGGGGCTCTGGAGCAAAAGAGCCTTTCTCCTCAGCCTGAAATATGCTGCAAATTGGCAGTTGCTGGGAAACAAAGGCGTCTTGAGAACGGGTGTTTTTGAGAAAACAGCGAACATTTCAACAAAAACTGCGTTGTCCTGTCTGGTTGGTACCTCGAGATCCCTGGTGGCGTTCGAGATCGCATGTGCTAGAACGGACGGGACATCCGCTCTCACCTCATTCTTGCGGAAACGATTGTAAGAATTTGGTCCCTCCAACATCATGATCAGTGACACCAGGAATCACATTGTTCCAGAATAGATTGCCCATGATCGGCATGCAGAGCTCCTTGTAAAGTCCACCTTGTCGATCGAACTTGATGCCGAGTTCGGTACTCTCCTCACTGCCCTCGACTTTTTTCCCAATCAATGTTTCTTCATCAAGTGTACCCGTCATGATGACAATCATGTCGTCCACACCAATGATTCGCCATGTGAGTCCGCTCCCACATTGAGAGCAAAAAGACCGGACAGCGGTTTCGCTTGACTGGTATTCTTTGTAGGTTGTGCATTTGGTAATGTCGCCGACAAGTTGGGACGGGTGAATAAGAAGGTCATGGGAGACCAACGCCCCAGTCCACTTGCGGCACATTGTGCATTGACAAGTGGCTCCCTGGCGGATATCGTTAGATATGTTCTACTATGCTGAAGACCAGGCGTCATACATTGGCTGGCCACGCTGCATCCTCTGGAAACACCAGCTTGTATCTGATGGAGCCGCAAAGACAACCGCCAGAAATTGATTCAGGCCTGGAAGCCATTGCAAGTGCCGTACCGACGAAGGAGAAGGAGGGAATGGGTTGACTAGATTGATGTTGGGATATATATCTGAGCTGTTGGGCTGTGACTGTTGGTGTATGCCCTATTCTTCCAGTGTTTGTGGGCTACTTTATACCGAGGGTGGCTTTTTCCATCAATTCAATTTCTGATGGGAATGTTAGGCAACCGCATTGATTGATAATTTTGTGTCACCATGGTTGGAGCCAAGAAAGGTCGTCGAGGCATTCCCTGCACTCAATTTTCCGACTCAGAGACAAGTCAGCCGTCATTGAGAAAGTGCTAGAACGCCTACAGCACCATGTCGTATTCCCTCGTATTCGCTCGTCAAACGTGGTTGAAGTGCAGGGCAAGATGTGTATACCAAGTGACCGGCCTTTCGACGAAGCTTGGCCGTGGCTTGTCAACTAGGCATCCAAATCCTTATCCTGATATGGTTGCACGAACCATATAGATTCAACATGTGATTGGTGTCTTGTCCAGTTTGTATTTGGTCAGCAACAAAACTTGACCATGGTTTTGATTGTTGCGCTCTTCCGAAAAGTGAAAGTCCAGACGTGCCCAGCGACTATTACAAGCCATCTCAAAGGTAATGTTCGTATAATGTGCCTGACTGAATACGGCGGGAAACTTCATTTTGCTGCTCATTTTGCTGCTTTCCGGCTTCTCCTGGAACCTGGAACCGGCGCGGCGTTTCCACCAGCGGCGGAGGACACACCATTTGCTGCGACAACTTTGTCGGTGCTCTTGTTTTGCTCTGCCTCCTTCTTTGCTGCTGCCCTCTTCTTAGCACCTATCTTTTCCAGGTGCTCGACCTGCTTCTCGCTAAACTCCCACAGCTTCTTCGCGACTTCTTCGTTTTTGACTTCTGGTCTGAGAGGCTCGTACTGTCTGCACTCTTTGATCATCTTTCCTCCTGCGCCTCGACCATATTCAGCGTCCATGGCGGCGAGTAGGTAGCTCTGGGCTCCTTGAACAGGAGACTTTAGAATGAGCCACCACAACGGCCAACTGATCAGATAAAAGAACAGTCCCCATATAAGACCACCTGACAGCCAGCGGCGCGTGCCTGGTGTGCGGCAATAACCAGGGTCAATTATCAGCGCCCGAGCATTGTTGGGTTCTTTGTCTGGTCTTTTATATGCGTCGAGGTGTTTTTGAAATGCATATGCAAAGGTCATGACTGCCAATTTACTTCGGCTGTATGAAGCGCTTCCTGATTTGGAAGCTTTGTCTGTGGTTTCGAAGTTCAACTTGCCGCCAATGTAGCTGCTGCATGTGCTAAACAGAATCCTCACGTCTCGATCGGGAGGTTGCGCACGTATAGCCGGCGAAAGGATGCTGAGTAGATGGAAGGTGCTGAGATAGTTGATCATCCACTCGGCTTCGAGTCCATCCATTGTCTCCTGAGGCGTGCCGAAGTAAGGAGTCATCACATTGGCACACAAAATGACCATGTCCAGTCTCCTTGGAGGTGCGTTGTCTACCCATTTTGTGGCAAAGAGCCGTATTGAATGCAATGAAGATAGATCGACTTGTTCGGCATATATCAGCTCATTATTTGTAATTGTTCGCACATCTTCAATGTAGTCCACGAGAAAAGGGTCTGACGGGGCATGATGGGTCAGGAGGATGATCTGGGCGCCTCTCGTGGCCAGTTCTTGCACAACGGCAGCTCCTATGCCTGAAGTTCCTCCCTACAAACTGTGCGTCAGAACATATGTGGAAGATTTAAGAGGCAACCCTCTTACCGTAACCATGACCACCTTCCCATGCATGAGTCGTTCTGATCGACATCTCGCTCCGCTGAAGTACAGTTTCAACAAAGCAATGATACCGACTAACGCTGCACCCTGAGCGACCGTCCAGATAAAGGGTATATTCGAGAGACCCCTGCCGAAGCCCTCCGCCAGCAGAGGAATAGGCATCGTTCTCTTGCGTTGTTTGGAAGTGCGGGAAATGGAGTGAAGTGAATTCAAATCAGGGCAGGACAGGCAATACCGAGTACATTCATAAATAATTTGAGACAAAACTCCGCCGAATCCGCCTATCGCAGGCGCCGGGTGCCTGAAACCCACCCAGGCAATGACGCCACAACGCCAGATATTATTCCTCCTCAGATACCCCAAAGCCTCTGAACAACAGCGCCAACAAAGGAATTTTCTAAAGGTTCTCTCAAAGAATCATGGCAGACACAGATGAAGACTATTACATCCCGCCTCAGGATCAGCGCGTCTTTGGAGCTGGTATCAGACGCAAAAAGATCAACTTCGTCCCCGCATCCACTCCGGATTCACAGATATCTACAGCCAAACCATCAACCTCGACAAACGCCAGAGCCCGATATCTAGCCATTGTTTTACCGCAGAATACTGACACCTCTGGAGATACGGAGCGAGATCTCGAGCCGGTCCAGGCTCAAGGCATATGCGCAGTGTGCCAGCAACCCGTTGCGGCCGACGACGAACTGTCCACAAGTCATGAAGCCTCAATCACGCATCAAGTGTGCCTGAAACATTCTTTCCCACCATCCGACCTTGACCGCGGTCGGGTTGGTCTACGATATTTGTCAAGTTACGGGTGGGATCCTGATTCTCGAAGAGGGTTAGGCGCAAAAGAAGAGGGGATCAGGATACCCATCAAAACGAAGGAGAAAAACGATACCGTGGGTTTGCGGGAGACGGTTGATGAAGAAACGAATGTGCTGAAGAAGAAACACAACCCCAAGAAAGAGGAAAAAATTGTGAAATTGAACGCCAAAAGAGTCCGAATCATGGATGACGAGGCGAAGAAACGAGCAGAGAAGCTGAGACAGCTGTTCTACGGTCCAGACTTGGAGAAATATTTGGGACCCAATAGTTGACAATCCAACATAGCCGGCTTGAACCTGGCTCAAACCGTATATGGGAAGGGCTTGATCCTCTCCCGTGCAGTGACCAAGACGGGAGGACACGACTATACACAACATCTGCGGTTCCGCCTTTCTCCTCCACTCGACGCCACGCTAAGTCACCATCATACAAGCATGCGCTTCTAGTGCTTCTTGAAAAATCCGAGGTGTTTCTTCTCCTTATCTTTCTTCAACTTGTGCTGGCCACTATCACCAGACGGCGACTGGTAAGGTTGGGATGGTTTTGAGGACGGGGGACCTGTCCCCACACCAGGTCGTGTCCCATTCTGTGGTCCTCTGCCACCAAGATTCATGTTCGCCATCGCGTCAGTCGGTGGTCGAACCTTTTCGGGTGGTCTGCCGTTTGCAGGTTGCTGAGGTCTTGGTTGTGGCTGAGCCTGTGGGGGAGGCTCTGTCATCCATGCTGGTAGCCGTGGGGCGGCTCGATCCATTGGCAGATCAAGCTGCCGTCGCCCAGCACTGAGTTGACTGACTTGCCGCAAGAAAGTTTTAGGTGTTATCATGTGGGTTGTTGCGAGGAAAACTTCTTTGCCAGCCATCTGAGAGACTTCATAGCAGGCTCGTGCTTCAGCGTAGGTGGCGCCGCCAGCAACGAACACAATGATGCGTTGGCGCGGTTTGTTGGATTGAGAGCGCGTTTGAGCCCATGTAGGCTTGCCTGTATTTCTGAGAGAAGTCTGAGAGACACTCATTTGGCTGTTTGGGTCATTGAGATGTGGCTTCACAGGAGGGAATACATTGAGGTCCAATGTTCCCTGGCATTGTTCTTCGAGCATATACCTCAGCGCTGGCTCAAATCGAGACAGACTCACTTCCTCCATGTTGCTGACATCTCTGATCTTCGGTGGGAACAACGGCGTCGGAGTAGGCGTCACATCTTTCAACTGCTTTTCAACCCTTGCTCCAAGAGTTATCAGGTTATAAATGATCTCCCCATCCATCGGTGAGAGTTCGCCGTGACATCGCAGCTTTTCGATGTCTCCCCTCAAAATGCCATTCTTGTACAAGATGTATAAAATCAAAAGTCGAACTCGATCTTCATGGACGACGCTGTCGTCGTCAAGCAGTCTGACAACCTGATCTGCTAGATTCTTCGGTTTCTTGTTCTCCTCGTCAAGCCCTGTGGCAAGAGATTGCTCGACTGAAACAACCTCTAGGAGTTTGCGGTCTGCAAAGATTTTGGCGCATTTCTCGGCCATGTCAATATGGAGTGAGAAGGCTTCTTTACCTTCCTGGAATTCTGGGAGTCCCGCTAACATGTCCTTGATGGTGTTGATACTCGCCGGTTGTCCATCGTTATCAGCAAACTGGGGATTTTTGGCTTGGAATTTCCTGAATTCCTCGCTCAACTTGACTAGGAGATCTTTCATGTGCATGTGTCGGTGAACAACCCAGAGGTTATCTTTCTCTGTAATCTCCACATCTTTTTCTTCCTGATCGGGTTGACCTCGCCTGATAATGTTTCTGTATGTTATTTTGTCCTCATCGTCTCGTATCGGTAAGAGATCCATTGCCATGGCCTGATATGTCAACTCATGGACAAATGGAGACATCAGATCCATGGATCTGTCTGTGATCAGTAGAACCGCTCGAGGCCGATTACCAGGGTTCTGGGGAGGAAAATCGTTCCGAGGATCACGAGCATAGTCGTCCAACGCACTCTGGACGAAGCTGGCGAGATGGTAGCATAGGACATCAGCAGTGTGTCTTTGATGCTCCCTAGGCTTGTAGAATCTGATAAGAGGGTATTCGCCTAGAGACACGCATATAGACACGAGTTTCTGAGTCACGCCGTCCAAGTGGTCCTTAACCAACGAGTCGCAAGCCGGGTGGAAGAGCACATGAAAACTCCATGGCTCGCGAAATGTGACGAGGTTGCATTCTCGCGGAAAATACTCAACGTTCAACGTTCGAGATTCGACAATCAACTGTGCTCGAGACTCTGAGCGGAACAGCTCTTCTCCATGATTCCTGGGTAGTTGGGAGGTCCAGATGAGGTGAGCACGGCGGTACCTCTTTCGACTGAGATCAGCCTTGAGGCTTTCGACTATGTGCGGTAGAGGGGAAAGGAGGTAAATCGCATCGGTGTCGGGGAGGCTCTGCCTGCGGTCTTCGAGAAGTTCGATATTGGTTATGTTGGCGTTCAGTATGTCATCCTCTTTGCACACATTGTACACAATTCGTTTGCTTTGCTCATCCAAAATCAAGACTTTCCAATCTCTGCCACTGGTAGCCCGAATCGTGCCTAGTATGATATTCCGCTGAATGTCGAGGATGGAGGTTGCCATGGCCGGCACAAGGATTCAGAGTGAGGAGTCTTGCTCACATACTCAAGAACATTGGATGACCCCAAGACTCTGCACGCACAGTTCATCAAAAGCGGAATGAGAAGTTCTGTTTCATGTGTCCGTGCACCGACGGCTTTTGTGGTGTGGGATACTTTGCCGCAGGCTGCTGCGGTGACATTGGGCGGCACTCCAGCCTCGTCCAAAGGTGGGCTACCACGTGATAAGGCTGCACATGTCAATATGTCACCAACTTTTTTCGATGACGATGATGGGGAGCGCTTCCTCTCCTACCAATTCTGTATAGTAGCGATCCGGCGAGGTCTACGAGGACGGAAAAACCCTATCATAGTTATCTACGCTGTCCTCCTAAAGTGTGCCTCCGACGTCCCTCAGATCTGCCGGGGCATGTACTTTCCCTCTACTCGTCGAGCGCAATGCCTCTTCTGTTCATTTCGAGCCTTCTTTGTACCGACGCCGAAACGATGTCCTGAAAATCTGCGCAATTTCTCTGCCACCGCCAGGCGAACAGACCGAAGACACCATAAAGCCGCACCTACCGTAAGGTCTGTTTTCTCCGAACCTTCGAGGTCTCGCCAGCCAAGTCGGCGTTCGATCCCCAAAACATTTCAGATCTCACCCGATGCGAGCTCCAACCGCGTTCGCGTCAGTTTATCGAAGCTGAAGAAGGAGTTGGAGTCCACAAAAGTGACAGCAGAATCAGAAGTCACACAACTGGCAGCGCTCGATCCTAGCGGGACATACTGGCCCGCATTCAGGCAATTGCTCGAAAACACACTCACAGCGCGCGGTGCCTCAGAGACCGCAGATTTTGACGGATTACTATCTGATATCGGTCGCGCTCAGTTGGGTGACTGGCAGAATGAACTCCCGAGAGTGCTACACTTTGGCTTCATTGACTATGTCCTGTTTAGAAGGGCACAAGATGCCCCGCAGGAGCGTTCGGCACTCGACGATCTACAATTTCCTATAGAATGGTATACCAATGCTCGACAGGTGCAAAGAGATGTCCACCTGCATATTGGTCCTACCAATTCAGGGAAAACCTACAATGCTTTGAAACGTCTGGAAGAAAGTGGAGACGGATTTTACGCAGGCCCTCTACGGTTGCTAGCACATGAAGTGTACTCAAGGTTCAAAGCGAAGGGCGTCCCATGTGACCTTATCACTGGAGACGACGTCAGATTAGAGGATGATCCCAATACAAAGTTACGCGCCTCGACTGTCGAAATGGTCGACATCTCCGCACGGTTTGAGGTTGCCGTTATTGACGAGGTGCAAATGATGGCTGACCAGGATCGGGGTTGGGCATGGACTCGAGCTTTCCTTGGTGCCAACGCAAAGGAAGTGCACATTTGCGGAGAAAATCGGGTGCTTCCCCTTGTTCGAGAGCTAACGGCATCCACGGGAGACATACTTCATGTGCATGAATATAAGAGGCTGAATCCGCTCAAGGTCATGACAAAGAGCCTGCGAGGAGATCTCAAGAACCTCCGCAAAGGTGACTGCATTGTGGTATTTTCGGTCGTCAACATTCATGCATTGAAAAAGCAGATCGAGTTGGACACAGGACGTCGTTGTGCCATTGTTTATGGTAGCCTCCCACCCGAAACTCGCGCACAACAGGCTGCGCTGTTCAACGACCCCAACAATGACTACGATTTTCTGGTAGCAAGTGATGCTATCGGCATGGGCTTGAATTTGTAAGTCGCCTAAATCGTGTACGAGGAAAGCAAACTGACGTCTGGCTCAGGAGCGTGAAACGCATTGTCTTCCACAGTGTTTCAAAATTCAATGGGACTTCTATTGTGCAGTTGTCAACCGCTCAAATCAAGCAAATCGGTGGTCGCGCTGGACGCTTCCGAAATGCGCATCAGGCTATGAATAACACCCCAGCCGCATCGGAATCTAACGTAGGTCTAGTCACGACTCTCAACGACGAAGATTTACCTCTTGTGCGAGCCGCAATGGAATCGGAGGCTCCCCCTATCAAAAGAGCAGGTATGCTTCCACCCGCTGAGGCAATGGAGGAACTCGAGGGTCGTTTGCCCAAGGGGATCCCCTTCGAATATATCCTGCGACGGTTGTGCGGAAAAGCTGCCACACATGAGCGATTTCGGGTATGCAGTATTCGAGACCAGAGTCGAATTTCTCGAGTAATCGAACCCGTCCGAGGTTTGACCATGACTCAACGCATCATGTTGACAGCTGCACCAGCTACTTCAGCCTCCCAAGCGATGGATGTGGTTATGCGAGCCTTTGCGAGATGCGTGGCAGAGCGACGACAGGTGACGATCGTTGACGTCCCTGAAGTTCAGCTTGAGGTTCTTGAGCAGCCTGTCTCGGGAGACCGAGCATATCTTGAAAGCCTAGAAGACCTTCACAAGTCGCTCGTCCTCTACCTCTGGCTGAGTTACAGGTTCCTGGGTATCTTTAAGGACAGGGAAATGGCCGTGTACGCCAAAGAGCTGGCAGAAGACCGAATAAACACCTGTCTCCTTGAGTTTTCTGCCAACCCCGATCTGCGCAAGAGAGTGTTGTCATACAAAAAGAGGATGGCTCTTCCTCAAATCCAAACGGACGAAACTTCGACTACAGAACAAGAGTCTCCTTCGGAGCTACCAGAGGAACCGGATGCCCTTCCTGTGGACTGGATCCGGGGTTCATCAGGCGTGGAGTTCGAGGATTCTCCGCCTCTACAGTCTTGCAATGTAGCGCATGGATGAATTTCCAACACGCTATCGTTCGGCTGTCTCATTTACTTCAAGAGAAATCGCATCCTGGCAAGGAGGCTTGATATACTCGATCAGGAGACGATGTCGAAGCTTCTAAGGACACCCAGATGTTACAGACTTTTGGCGCGAAGCCACTCTAAGATACAAAGGCCACGTCGTGCACAGACAAGTGTGTGCATGTGTAGCAGTGGATGGCTTTTTATTTGGTTGCTATTGTGCTACCTTGTACCAATACCTCTTATTCGACCAATACCGATCCCCGTGCTTCGTGGAAGAGGCTCGAGGGCGAGCCAACCGTCGATGTACTTGCCATACTCATTGTTGAGTAGCCACTTTGTCAGCGGTTGACGGGTTTGATGCTGCCATTTCGCGAGCGAGCTGGTCCTCGGTCTTTTTGTTGCCATGCAGGATCAAACGGTTCAAGAAGCTCCCTGGCTTGCCTGTGTCATGTCCTTCTTTTTCTGCATCATCGGCCTCTTTTGTGACATAGTCCATGGTTTCTTCGTCGGCTGAATCATGCTCGTCAAAGTTGACTGCACACGAGGTTAGCAGCGGCGTATATGACACTGAAAGCATGGAGACCAGAGAGAGACAGTGAATGCCTGAGCTTTGTGTCAAGCCTTGTGGAAGTTTCACAGACTTGAGGGCAAGGAGATGGAAGTGCATACTCTCTTTGTCTTTGTGGCTGAGACGGCGCTTGATCTTTGCCCGAATGTTCTCCATTTCCGGTGATGACTACAATAACAGACTGGACTGGGGCGACGCTCTTTGCAATGCCAAAGGATTGTGAGGGAAGGACTCTGTTGTAGAAGGGTAATGGATATCTGGAGGAGGAAAAAAAGACGGATTGTAGATTCTGATGGCGGGGTGAAGGTACCTTTTTCTACTTACTTGAGCTTCAATTAGAGGGTCAAGGAGGGGTGATCTACTGGCATTGACACAGTGCAGGCACCGTCGTCACCATCCATCCACCATGTAATAATATGATATCCAAGGTCTCGACCTAAGAAAGACCCTGCCGTTCAATTGTCGACAAATCGAGCCTATTCGCCAGGTGCCACCAAGTGACCCAAGGGAGCTGGGGCGGCCTGCGCCACCCAAGGGGCCGCCACCCAGATCGAGCCAACGGAAGCGAAGCGAGGTTTGTTTGATCCGCAGCCTGCATCCCGCTTCCGCTTCTCAAAAATTCCATGTCCATCTCCAACATCGAGAATACATCACCAAGGGCCGACAACTGGCTGGACCAGGCCCGCCCTTCCACGAACAATTGCACAACCTTCACGATCTAGGCTTGCCTTTGGCCAGCCATGGACGACTTCACCTCCCTCGAACTGCTGTCGCTCGTTTCCAAAGTTACCTCCGAACTGCAAAACCACCTGGGAATCAACGACAAAACTCTCGCCGAGTTTGTCATCGACCAGCACGAAAAATGTGGAGGCAACCTGGAAAAGTTCAAGGAGGACTTAGCGGGCATGGGGGCAGAATTTCCCAACAGCCTGGTTGAGAGCATCGATCGGTTGATCAAGGCGATGCATCCTAAGTACAAAAACACCCAGAAACAATCTGCGCAGGCAAATGGCTCTTCCGACATGGACGAGCTAGATGCGATCGGTCGCAAAGCGAAAGTCTTTAAGGGGCTTGCTGTTCCAGATCGTGACCAGTCCTGGACCGACTCCGAGGATGATATCGCTGCACAGAAGGCAAGTCGAACAAACAACCTTGCACAGGACGATACCTTTGCACTTCTCGAAGGCCTTGCAGGAAAATCGAAGGCCGGTACGAATGGACATACCGAAAGAACCAGAAAGAGGAGTCGCAGTCCAGATCGGGATGACTATGCAAGGAACCGGGAACCAAGGCGCAAATACTGGTCTCGAAGTCCCAGCCCTCATGAGGAGAAAAGGTCACGCAGATATCAAGACCGTGATTATGAAGACAGGTCCACCGGTCGTAGAGACCGCTACGATGAGAGGCAGAATGGCCACCACAAGAGCAGGAGACGCGACTACGACGAAGATGAAGATTTCCGAAGGCCGCCTCCTCGTGAAATCGACGAGCTCCCCGTTCTCTATAAAGTCTATGATGCAGTGATCAATGGAATCAAGGACTTTGGCGCATTTGCTAGTCTTCAAGGTGTCAAAGGCAATGCCAGCGGGCTTATCCACGTCTCTGCCATTCAGGAGGGCGCTAGGGTCAACCATCCCTCCGATCTTCTATCTCGTGGACAGCACGTAAAGGTCAAAGTTGTCAAGATGGAGAACAACAAAATCAGCTTGTCGATGAAGGAGGTTGATCAGGTCACTGGGCAAGATCTTGTTCCGTCAAGGAGAATAGCCTCCGGCGCTAACATGGAGAGTCTCAACGGTGCATCGTCGGAAGACCGTTATGGAAATCTGAGTAGCACAGTCCCCGTTATCGAAGACAATTACACTTCAAAGTCGAGCAAGTCTCGGAAGAGATTGACATCCCCCGAACGATGGGAAATCAAGCAACTCATCGCCTCAGGTGCAATATCGGCGCATGATTACCCTGATATTGACGAGGAATACAATGCAACCTTGAACGGAGATGACCAGTTTGAGGAGGAAGAAGACATCGATATTGAGGTTCGAGAAGAGGAGCCACCCTTCCTCGCAGGCCAAACCAAACTGTCCTTGGAACTGTCACCCATTCGAGTTGTGAAGGCTCCTGAAGGCTCACTCAACAGGGCAGCTCAAGCTGGTACAAACCTAGCCAAGGAGAGGAAAGAACTCAAGCAACAGGAAGCAGCGGAGCGGGCGGCAGAAGAGGCATCCAAAGTTGACCTGAACGCACAATGGCAAGATCCGATGATCAATCCTGAGCAGAGAAAGTTCGCATCGGACCTGCGCCAAGCCCAGCAACAATCGTCTCGAGCTATTGAAGCAGTGCCCGAATGGAAACGAGCCACCCAAGGCAAGAATCAGTCTTATGGCCGCCGGACAGACATGACTATCAAGCAGCAAAGGGAGTCACTTCCAGTCTTTCATTTTCGCAAACAATTGCTCGAAGCTGTTGCTGCGAATCAGTTGCTTATCGTGGTTGGAGACACTGGTTCTGGCAAGACAACCCAGCTCACCCAGTACCTTGCTGAAGCCGGGTACGCTAACAACGGCATGATCGGCTGTACGCAGCCTCGGCGTGTCGCTGCCATGTCCGTCGCAAAGCGTGTGTCCGAGGAGGTCGGCTGCGAGTTGGGAAAAGAGGTCGGCTATACAATTCGATTTGAGGATCGAACGTCACCGGCCACCAAGATCAAATACATGACTGACGGGATGCTTCAGCGAGAGATTTTACTGGATCCAGACCTCAAGCGCTACAGCGTCATTATGCTGGACGAGGCACACGAGAGGACCATCGCCACCGATGTTTTGTTTGGGTTGCTCAAGAAAACCTTGAAGAGGCGACCGGACCTGAAGCTGATTGTCACATCCGCCACTCTCGACGCAGACAAGTTCTCCGAGTACTTCAACCAATGTCCCATATTCTCCATCCCCGGCCGAACTTTCCCTGTTGAAATCATGTATTCCAGAGAACCCGAGGAAGACTACTTGGACGCGGCGTTGACTACTGTCATGCAAATCCATCTTACCGAACCACCCGGTGATATTCTTCTGTTCTTAACTGGACAGGAAGAGATTGACACCAGCTGCGAGGTTCTGTACGAAAGAATGAAGGCTTTAGGACCTGGTGTTCCTGAACTGGTCATTCTGCCTGTCTACTCGGCCCTTCCCAGCGAAATGCAGAGCCGGATTTTCGAGCCTGCGCCACCTGGTGGTCGAAAGGTCGTTATTGCTACGAACATTGCCGAAACATCCATTACCATCGACGGAATCTACTACGTAATAGATCCTGGCTTTGTGAAGCAGAACGCCTATGATCCAAAACTCGGAATGGATTCGCTAGTTGTGACCCCAATCTCTCAAGCACAAGCCAAACAGAGAGCTGGTCGAGCAGGTAGGACTGGTCCAGGCAAATGCTTCCGCCTATACACCGAAGCAGCCTATCAGTCTGAAATGTTACCTACCTCCATACCAGAAATCCAGCGCCAGAATCTCTCCAATACCATTCTGATGCTCAAAGCAATGGGCATCAATGATCTCTTACATTTCGACTTTATGGACCCACCGCCCACGAATACTATGTTGACAGCGCTTGAAGAACTTTACGCACTCTCCGCCCTCGACGACGAAGGTCTTCTCACACGACTCGGACGCAAAATGGCCGACTTTCCCATGGAGCCCTCCTTGTCAAAAGCCCTAATAGCATCCGTGGATTTGGGTTGTTCGGAGGAGATGCTCACCATCGTGGCAATGCTCTCCGTGCAGACAGTGTTCTACCGCCCGAAGGAGAAGCAACAGCAAGCCGACCAGAAAAAGGCCAAGTTTCATGATCCCCACGGAGACCATCTTACACTACTAAACGTCTACAATGCATGGAAGCAATCTCGGTTCAGCGATCCTTGGTGTTTCGAAAACTTTATTCAAAAGCGTCAAATAGCGCGAGCCAGGGACGTCCGCCAACAACTTGTCACTATTATGCAACGGTACAAGCATCAGATTGTTTCCTGCGGTCGCAATACGCTCAAGGTTCGACAAGCACTCTGCGCCGGGTTTTTCAGGAATTCAGCACGGAAGGATCCGCAGGAGGGCTATAAAACCCTTATTGAGGGGACACCCGTGTACATGCATCCTAGTTCTGCGTTGTTTGGAAAACCGGCTGAGCATGTCATCTTCCATACGCTGGTGCTGACGACTAAGGAGTACATGCACTGCGCGACTGTGATTGAGCCGAAGGTATGTGCCACATTAACCTGATCCCCTTTCCACCAGTTTCCTTCCTGCTGTCAGATTTTTTGACATTGTCTGATGCTGACTCTTGATTATAGTGGTTAGTTGAAGCTGCCCCGACGTTCTTCAAGGTCGCTCCCACGGATCGCCTCAGCAAGCGCAAGAAGGCAGAAAGGATTCAACCCTTGCACAATAAATTCGCCAGTGGAGATGACGATTGGCGGCTAAGCGCGCAGAGAAGGCAAGGTAAAGGAGGTGGCGGAGGTACCTGGGGTTGAATGAAGCAGTTTTGGAAGGGGATTCCCAGTTGTTGGGTATGTTGACTTGGAGTCGATATTGCTGAATATTGTGCCCAAGGGGAAATATTCTCGCTTAAGGACGCGTGAAGATGAGTTCAGAATAATAGAACTCGGCAATCCAAATCACAAAATCTCAACAGCAAGACTCGTATGTGTCCGCAGATGGGAACCATTTCATAATGGTATACCCTGAGGATGACCACGTTTTCCTCTCTGCTTAGATGTTCACTTCGCCACCGCTCTAATATGTCCTTCTTTCCACCTTCATACGACTGGTATCATCCCCGCTTTTCTCTCGGGTTTCTCCTTGAAGATGTTCTTCACAGGTTTCAAGGTCGGAGGAGCGGCCACCACATCCTGCAAATTCGTCTGCCTGCCCAATTGACCTTCCTCACGCCGCTTCTTCTCCAGTATCTTCCAAGGGTCCGCGTCGTCGACGTCCCTCGCACCGCCGCCACTGCGCTTCTTCTTGGCCTTCTTCCCGCTTTTGCCCAGCGTCGACACTTGGGTCGACGGATCGATCCCGGCGCCGAGCCACAGGACCTCGTCCTCCTCTTTCTTCTCCGCCAGCTCTTCCTCCGCTTCCTCCCGCTTCTCCTTCAGCCGCTGGTCCGTGGCGCGCCACTCGCTCTGCATCCGCGCCAGTCTCTTGTTGTGTTTCGTGAGTGGGGTCTTGATCTTCTCCAGTCCCGGGATCGCGCTGAGGCGTGTCCGGTGTTTGGGGAGCGAGGTCAGGGGTAGAGATTGGTCGACCCGTCGCGAGTACGAGGCGAGGGACTCGCCAGGGAGGATCTTGGGGACATCCGCCGCTTTCGCGGTCGTTGGCGCAGGGTCGGACGGCTCTGTCGAAGCCGCCGCTGTGGAATTTTCTTCTGGCGTCCCAGGCTTGGACACCGCCGAGTTGTTGGCTGGTATTGATTTGTCCTCTTTCCTCTGCTTCTGTTTCTGTTTCTTCTTGGAGATATTCCCGTCGTCCAAGCCCGAGGGCATCCTCTTCCCGCCCGGTTGAAACGACATTAACCGCCTGAAGGCTTTCGGGGTATCGTCCTCAAAGGCTGCCCCGTTCTGGCCATTCTGCTTCTTTTTCTGCTGCCTTCTGGCCTCCTGCTTGCGCTTCTTGTCCGCGTCCGACGTGAAGATGGACTCTTGCTTCTGGTGGACGGTCAGAGTCCGCGCCCGCGACGTGGGCGGCAGGTCGAAACTAGGGATCTCTCGTTAATGCCGATTTTCTGGATGTTTTGGTGCATCTGTGGGTGGTACGTACTTTGAATCGTCGTCGGCGCGCTTGCGCTTGTGTTTGTGAGGCATTTTGAGGTTGTCGTCTTTAAACCCGTTCAACCTATATTGAACTGAATTTCGTTTATATCTACGGGGTACCTGCGACCAGGCATAATGGACGAGGGAAAAATTATTGACGAGGCTGAGTGCGGAGACCGTCGAAGGAAAATTTACCCCGCACCGCAGCCTTGTATTCCGCCACACTTCCCGTCTTGCGTGGTCCTCGACATGTAGAACGAACGATTCTTGAGGTTCTGGAGAGCCCAGGTAGCAAGCTGTCTTGCTTTTGACATTGACTGTTCTATTGGTTGTATAGTCTCTATGTTTCTATGCGACTCTAGGCTCAACACATCAGTTGGTGAAGAGTCTGATGCCCCAGTCATGAATGTGGTCAATTGTCCTTCCCTTTCCGTCCGGAATTTCCAGCGCATTGAGGACTTGCATGTCCTCTGACGACAGCCCCCTCACTGCGAGATTCGATTTGATTCGGGCTAGCAGAGGCGGGAAGGTGTCAGCCATTCTCTATCGACCAAGACTTGTACGAGGGAAGATCTGCACACGAACCTTCTGTCTGGCTCTTTCCGAGAGGGACGGTGCCCCTCTGGACCGCCCAACTCTGCAGCAACTGTCCGACGTCCATGCCGTTTTTCTCGGCCAGTTTCACGACCGTGGGGTCTTTGAGCAGTGTCTTTCCATCCGCTTTCTGGCCTGCGAACGGAGAGTAGCAGGTGACCAGGATGCCGTGCTCCTTCATGAAAGCGATGAGCTCGTTGTTTGGGAGCCATGGATGGACCTCGACCTGGTTGCAGGATATGGGCACGTCTTGCGCGTACGGTAAGAGTTCCTTGACATCAGCGATGGAAAAGTTGGAGACGCCAACCGCTCGTGTCTTGCCGGTTGACACGAGTTTTTGCATCGCTTGCCACGTAGGGACGTAGCTGCCTTGCTGACCTGTTGGAATGGTGAACGACATCCGTCAATTGTTGGCCATGGGGCTGTGTGTGAATGTAACATACCGGCTTGAGCCGCGATATTGCTGGTGGTATGTTCCCAGTCAAACACTGCTTTATCGGTGCCTGGTTCCACCAAGATTCCTTTCTCCGTCTTGGAGACGTAGGCACGGCTATGCGCATTCTCAAGGGCCTCTCGCGATATCGGTTTGAATGCGACGGGCCAGTGCGCCAGGAACAGGTCGACATAGTCGAGGCCCATCCGTTTCAAGCACTGGTCCAGGCACAATTCCACATTCTCGGGCGCAGAGAAGTGTGGCCAGAACTTTGTCGTGATGAATATTTCGGATCTGGGGACTCCCGATTCTCGGATCGCCGCTCCAACTTCTTCATCGACCTTGGATAGGAGTCAGTGCTGGATCGACCGTCAGGATTTTGTAAAGAGTGGCATCATACACCATACATCCACGCACAATCCAAATGTCTGTATCCCAGTTTCAGAGCCGTCAACGTAGCGGCTTTACACCACCCTGGATCACCTTTCTAGAGGTCAGACGCGAGGACCAAAGATCGGGCTGTATCGGAGACAAACCTCCACCCCAGGTGCCAAAGCCCACAGACGGAATCTGAATAGTCTTCCCGCCTGCAACTTTTAAGGGGAAATCAACTGGGAGGGCCATGTTTGAGGAGGCTAGGAGATGTAATATACTCGAGCCTGTCTGTTCTACCTCAGTTGATGGTACGCCAGGTGCGTTCAATGGCAAGATGTTCTAGTAGAAGGCGCTATCTCAGATAATGCCAGCGCAGGCTCCGTACATCGGACGACTGACCAGCAAAGTAGAGTACAGATTTGAGCCAATCAGAAGCGTAGCAGCTGCGATAACGGGTATAACAGGTCAAAATCAGCCAAAAAGCATTAATTCTTCGGAAGGGCCATTTCAGGAACAAAACTTGATGTCAAAGGGCGTGAAGAAGCCGAAGGCCTAGGCGCAAAATCTACTAATCTGGAAGAACATCAAAGGGTGTTTGCGATCCGAGAAGAGGACAAAGACATCTTCCATATCCCGGGTATATGGTATCGAACACCGGAAAAGGATGAATGTGAAAACGAAGCCGTCCAATCGTAAGATGGTCAAATAGCACAAGGCTGTCATTCAGCCTTGCGCCGACTGGGAATGAAGGACTGACGCAATGGCTTTCAATTATCAAACCATCTGTGGTGAAAGGCAGCAAGAGCTCGTTGACTTCGGAGAAATTTCGGACAAAAGATCTTCCTTTTCGCAATCCGTGGTAGGGCTTTTTCATCCTCTTCTTAAACTATTGCTTCAATGCTGCAGTCCATACACACACATTCACCGCATCTGGCTCAAATGTGGCCTTTGTCACCGGCTCCTCGGAATAATGACGTTGGCGTGCAAGTTAGTCAGCCAACAGGGCCGCAAAACATCAACAGCCACCTCACGGATTAACGCGCAACATTTTCCCCAAGGCTGGCTAATCTTTAACGCGAGGCTATTGCCTGAATTTTTGTCCACAACCAGTAAGAGAGGCACATCCTATGAAGATGTACTCCTCTATCGTCAGACACAACGCGGCGATGATGCTGGTGATGGAAGGTTCCGACTCATGGGGAGCAAGGCGAGATGAGAAACAAGCCACGTCTTCTGGGATAGATACCTGAGTGGCTCATTGAAAACGCTTCACTGTCCGATACAAAAGCCAAGTGCTCTCCTGCTTCCAAGGTCTGTCAACTCTCCAATCCAACCACGTCCATTGATAATCCTTCCCCAATAATATTCTCTGCCCAACATGATCGTCGCCGGACCTCATAACCTCTATACCCTTGCAGAAGGTGCTCCCCTCCCTCGAAATGACACCAGTGTCCAGGTCCGCAACAAGCAGGGTGGCGGTCTCGTTCTTCTCCAAGACACCCAGTTGATTGAGACACTTGCCCACTTCTCGCGCGAGAGAATTCCGGAAAGAGTCGTGCATGCGAAAGCAGCTGGTGCTCGGGGTTATTTCCAAGTCACCCACGACATCTCCGACATCACTGACGCAGACTTCCTCAATGGAATCGGCAAAAAGACAGAGGTCTTGACTCGAATCTCGACCGTTGGGCCCGAAGCTGGTTCCGCCGACACCATCCGTGACTTTCATGGTTGGGCTATCAAGTTCAAGACTGCAGAAGGGAACAATGACTGGGTGTTCAACAACCAACCCGTCTTCTTCGTCCGAGACCCCATCAAGTTCCCCTCGCTCAACCGCTCTCACAAGAGACATCCTGCTACGCACACCTCTGATGCAGACATGTTCTGGGACTTTCATGTCGGTTCCCCCGAGTCCATCCATGCCTTGATGTTCCTCTTCAGTGACCGCGGCACTCCTGCGTCTTTGCGCTCCATCAACGGTTACAGTGGTCACACCTACAAGTTTACGAAGAAGGATGGCTCCTACCACTATGTCAAAATCCACATCCACGCTGACGGAGGCATCAAGAACTTCACAAACGACGAAGCTATCAAAGTCGCTGGCGAGAGCCCTGACTTTTTGACCAATGATCTTTTCAACGAGATTGAAAAGGGTAACTTTCCCTCTTATACAGTGTCCATTCAAACTATCCATCCTGCCGATGTGGCCATGTGTCCAGTCAACATTTTTGATATGACCAAGGTGTTGCCTCATGAGCAATATCCTCTTCGGCCCGTGGGCAAGCTAGTCTTTGACACCAATCCTACCAACTACTTCGCCGAGATTGAGCAGGCGGCTTTTACACCATCGAATATAGTCCCTGGTATTGAGCCCAGCGCCGATCCCATGCTGCAGGCTCGGATGTTCGCCTATCCCGACGCCGCCCGCTACCGACTCGGCGTCAACTACCAAATGCTACCCACCAATGCTGCCAAGGTGCCGATCTATGTCCCGACTGAGCGCGATGGTTTCATGAACTTCAGCACCAACTACGGTCCTGACCCGAACTACATCAACAGCTCCATTCATCCCACGGGCTTCCACACCGCAGGCGTATCAGAGTACAAGCCGACTGAGGAGTTTCTGAGTGGACCCGTCGTGTTCACTTCTGATGTGACCGACGACGACTTCAAGCAGGCCCGCGCCTTGTGGACCAAAGTCATGGCCAAGCAGGAGGGTGCGCAGGAAAACTTCATCTCCAACATCGCCGGCAACATTGCTGGCGTTAAGAGGGACTGGCTCCGCGAGAAGGTCTTTGGTAAGTGCCCTTTTCTCTTTCCCACCCAAGCGTGCACCTGATACAATGTCTAACGGGTCCATTTCTCACAGAACTCTTCCGTCGCGTAGATGAGTCCCTGGGCAAACGCATCGAGGAGGCTGTCAACAAGATTGTCAAGGTATGACTTTAATGGTGTTATGAACCCTGTAAGCAAACTTTGGCGTTGGGCGGTTTTCCTGGAGCGCTTCATCGCTACAAATCTACTGGGAATATTTATATGCAGTAGTCTTTTCATGAACAATGGGATCTGAATTTACTTTCCATGGACGAGGAGAACACACCTATCATCATTGTTGACCATTGACTCTGGTGTTCCCTGGCTCTACAAGTGACTCTAGCTGGCCTCATAATCTACGCTCCACAGAAGCCGCCGTTCTAACTCGATCTAGAGTCTCGGCGCCCCTCATCCAAACACCCCATTCTTAACTCACTCGTGTAAATTCTTTCCACACGGAAGCTCTGCAGTCTGTGTGTTCCGGCACTGTGACTATGCCGTCTGTAAGAAATGCGTATCATGGCGTGTTGCCCTGCTGAAGGAAGTGGAGTAAAGTGGCTAGCGAAACCTCTGAAACTCATTCCTGGATACTGTTTCTTCCCTCGTTTCATAACGCGTTGAATGTCTTCGCCTGCACCGTGATATGAATATCTCTCTATATTCATCTCTGATGCCGCGGCTCACACTCACCAGGTTTCGTCGGCCCGCCATCCAGTCCTTTGAGTTCCTCGAGATACTTCAACCCTACCAGCGGCGAGGACCTTCAGTCGTCCAGTCCCAGTCGTACTCCTGTCCAGGAGGAGTATCGCCGGTTTCAGCCCGACTGTGGGTGACTTCTCTGACTAGGTCAGCGTGAGCTCGCCTCCGAGGTATCGTTTCATGACGATAGCCCCGAGGAGAATTTTTCTTCTTTGGATCGAAATTATATAGAGGTGACCGCCACCGCCTCCGCCATAGTCTACGGGTACTCGTGGAGACTCTGTCTACTCTCTTTGTGTCAAAGTGTTATGCAGGTTCAAAAACTGTAGGCCAATTGGTAGAGTGCCTCTTGCCCTTTTTTGATTATTTTCCCTGTGTGTGAAACAGAACAAAGCAAAGCATGACAAGGCTAGATGTCGATATGTCTATTCAGTTTGCATTTTATCCTAAAAAAAGAAAAATCTTCAAATATGCTATGCTATAGTCTTGCAAGTAACCCCAATGTCAAAGTATTGCTTATGGACAAGAAGACGAAGATCTGGGCCTTTACGCTGGTACTTCTCGGAGGTGTGTAACTCTGGACAGTTCTGAAGCCCCGAGCTGAATACTGACATAACCCAATCGCAGCCGCTGGTATGTCAGTCGTAGGTGCTTTCGCCTGAGGGGGTCAGTCTTTTCAAATTCAATGGGAACTTGAACAACGGCTGCAACGGCTCCAACATCGGCGACGAATACAACGACATAACAGTAACAAGATCGACAACGACAATAACAGCAATGGGACTCTACTGTTTCCAAAGTTCACACAGCAATATCCTCCCCATGGGAAGACTAGTCGTGGCAGGAGGAACACATATAGACTAGATAGAAACGAGTCACTCGCTCATTTGTTTTACGACTCATACCAGTATCAGGGACTTGCGGCTGGTAGATAACAGGAAATTTCAGGGAAGCTCTCTACTGCCCACTACCTGTAAATGTTTCGTTTAGTTGCCAGCAGATGTCTCAGGGTCGCCGAGATGTTGGCACGACACCTATTTCAAGACCGAGAGGTAACATTTAGGCAAAGACATTCTGCAATTCATGAATCTGTCCTTTTTCGTCGTAATGATCAGCGCACTACCTGGTGCAGAGGCCGCGCGAGCTCCAACGTCATCTCGGCGCTGCGCTCAGATTCCCTGTTGACGAACGCTGGAGGCTCTCGCACAACACTCCCAATCTTGGGCGCAATCTCAATGATCGCGCCGGAGAGGCTGTTCGAGCCCAACAGCTTCTCGACCTCATCGAGCACAGTCTTCATCTCGATCAGCGGGACGCCGGCGGCCTCGATCTTGTCGAACGCCTCGGCGGTGTTCAGGCCCGTGCGGATCTTGTTGGGGCAGATGACGTTGATGAAGATCTTCTCCTCGTCGGCGAGGTAGGTGCCGAACGAGCGCACGAAGCCGACCTGGGCACTGTTGCGGGTGAGCCTCTCCTGTTTCCCTAGATTTTGATGGTGGTGGGAGAGCGCGGCACTTACTGTCTCGCTGCTGCGCACATGGGAACGCAAGGCATGCTGTAAAACCCCGACACTGATCCGAGCACGATGACTGTGCGGCGCCATAAAAGATGAGTATTCAATCGTACTGATGGATATCAACTCCCCTTCGAGGGAAGGAGACCGTGATCTGATCTTCTGCGGGAGACTTACTCTTGCCGCGAAACCCAAGGTCATTCACCGACTGCCGGCGAAATTGCTGCAAGGCCAAGCTGATCGTGTACAGAAAGCCGTTCATGTTGACTTCAAACGCTCGAAGATCTGGCGGTTGGAAGCCCGTGGATGCTGGGTTATTGGGAAACGTCCTGGTCTCGCCGACACCCGCGATTGGAAAGATGTAGTCGATCCGCCGGAACTGAGACACTGCCTTTTCAAATCCCCGACGCAGGGAGTCCCAGTCTGCAACGTCGACGACGACGGGCAACAGCACCGTCTCGTCTTTGTTCAACTCTTCGCTCAAGGATCGCAGGCCATCTTGGCAAATGTCCGCAACACACACTCTGATGCTGTTACGTGGGAGAACCTGTTAGGAAACAAGGTGCGGGCCAAGTCATTGTCTCTTTAATACATACCCTTTTTGCAGTAAAAGCTTCGCCACTGCGCGACCAAGGCCGCTTGCACCACCTGGTCACTGCTCAGCGTAAAAAGTCCATGTTGTTCTTATTTGCAGGGAGAAAAGAATGCTTGAAATGCGCAGATTGATGCCTACCAGTAATGAATGCTGTCGCTGCTGATCCATCCATAACGTGTCGCCGGCTGACTTTTGTTCCCCTTTCTATCTGATGATTCTGATCGCTGACCACCCAATGATATTCCTAATGTAGAGACGCAGTCACCGAGTCAAATCTGCCAGGTCTGCCTCTTCTCGAGAGAACAGGCCGTCATAGGCTTAACTTTCACACATATTGTCCAGAAAACACCGGACGTTCTTCAGCGGTCTTCAGCAGTATGCTAGCTAGTAGAACACCACCCCGCCAATTGATGGGCCAAAGTGGATCTGTGGAGCAGTCGCCTGACAAGCTAGACCTGATCGAACCGGATAGACCAGTTATCGGTGGAGTGGAGTCAACCGAACCGATACGGTTAGTCTGCCTTGTCCCCGCAAAGGGTCTTCCAGTGCAACGACTTTGCAAGGACCTCGTCGAGGCGCCGGCAGAGAGAAGGGAAGAGAAGAGTACTCGGAAGAGTTTTGACAACCTTTCTTTGGGCTCGGTAGGAATGCCACGTCCCGATTGACCCGGACAAGACGGTTTGCATGCGAGGTATACCTAAGGTCACTCGCACTCTCGACGTCGGTATCAAGGAGGCCGAGGTGCGAGGTGCCAACTGTGTATGGTCGCGGCCACACGATTTGGTTTGCTCTCATTGTATTGTATTGTATTACATGACCCGTCTGAATCTGGAGGTCAGAGTGGAATGTTGACTCGTTCATTCATTCCTTAGCCGGTCTTTTCAGTGTCGAAGACTCACCTTGTGCCTCGTGTACCTGAGGTCGCTGCGTAATCACCAATTAATTCACCCCTCTGAAGGACAAGTCGCCACATCTAGCCATAAGCACGACGAAATTGAGCAAACTGGTCTTGCACTCGAGACATTCGTATTTTCTCACCAGGGCACAACCAGAAAAAATGACCACCAACAACCACTCTGCCGCTGACGCTGCTGCCAAAATCTTCCCGCCCAAGTACCTCGCCCACGTCGTCCTGCGCACGGCCAACTTCCGGCCCATGGTGGACTTTTGGACGACGTTCCTCGGCGGCTCCATCACGTACGGCAACGACAAGCTCGCATTCATTACCTACGACGAGGAGCATCACAGGGTAGCGATTCTGAATTTGCCCGAGTCGGGGCCAAAGGACGCGACGAGTTCGGGGCTAGGTACGTACTAGACACCGAACACCAAGCACGTGATACTTGATACTTTGTATATCGGCGTTGGTTGTTGGGTCATGAGATGGAGAGAGAGAGAAAGAGAGAGAGTGTGTGTATATGTCCTGATACAGAACGTTGTTCATATACGATCACGAGGCTCAATCCGCATCTTTTGCCGAACAGGCATCCGCTTTATCAAACTAGCTGACAAGACTACCCTGCACACAGAACACGTCGCCTTCGGGTTCAGCACGATCGACGACCTCGCGCTGGCCTACACGCAGCGCAAAGCCCGCGGCATCGTGCCCGGGTGGTGCGTCAACCACGGCCCCACGACGAGCCTGTACTACAAGGACCCGGACGGCAACAAGATCGAGATGCAGGTCGACAACTTCGCCACGGTGCAGGAGGCCACGGCCTTCTTCCACACGGCCGAGTTCGCCGAGAACCCCGTCGGCGTCGACTTTGACCCGGACGAGTTGGTCAGGCGGCTCCGCGACGGGGAGGACCGGAGGGAGATTCTGAAGAGGCCCAGGACGGGGCCGAGATTGAATTATAAGCGGTATTAGAAGTTTCGATATCTTTTCAAAAGAAAAGGGGGTTAGAAAACACGTGAGACGGACGAGGCAGTGTCAGGATATACATGTACAGAAGTGCAAAATTGTTCCTATCGAAATGTCCATCCTAGCCAGTATCGTAGACCTCGAGAACCACGTTTTCCCGCTTCGGTCTAGGAGGGTGCAAGACGTGGTTTCATCAATCAATCCAATTCGTTAATTCGTTTGTTCATTGATCATACATGGATTCCCAAGACATCTTCCGGCAGAGGCGGTAGTGATGTATCGGGCAACCACAAGAGGGAGTCCCCCCAGCTTTCGAGTTCCATGTCCATCCGATTGAAGATCGACATTGGCTGTGAGAGAGAAAGGTCGTGTGTCAGCTGAGAATGGGATCAAAAGACGCTGGGACAATAAAAGGCAAGAAAGGGAGAGGGAAAACGCACATCTTCCGGCGAGGTCATGTGCATCATCAGACCATCACTGATCCCTGCAGCACCAACAATACCACCAACTCCTACCGATTTCACGGCTTCTGTACCGCCTCCGTCACCACCCCCTCGCAGGGTCTTGGACCAGGATCCAGTAGTCGTTCGCCGCGCGGCTTGTTGTCCAGCCTTCATGACCGTGAATCGAGCCAGGTTGACCACGTCCCTGGCGAACGGGAAGTGTAGGTCCGCAGAGGCGAATTCGACATAGTTCATGTGGCCGGCGACCATGTCCATGAACTGGATGTCGGCGCCCACGGCCGGCCTGTCGGGGAATTTGAGGACGTGCGCAAAGAGCGCGATCAGCGCTGTCAACGGGAATACGTAAACCAGGCTTGGGAGAAGTCAATATATAATTTCGAAAATACCTCAAGAGGGGTTTCCGGGTGCGCTCACCATTTTGGAGTCGACGGAGTAATGGCAACATGGCGAAGATTCCGGACAATATTACGGGCCGCTTCGGCCACGACTTCGGTGCATTGGCTGATAAAGTCACGAGCTTCATCGTAATGCGTCGCTTCGAAATGGATGGGCAGGGTATTCCAGAAATTGACCATGACGGAGTTGATGGCGATGGTGCTTCCATAGTACGAAAACAACAGATATAGAGTCTTCATGGGGTGGAGGTCGCGGGGAAATTCGTTGGTCGTAGTGTTGATCCTCACTGTGGCTGGAAGTGATTCGTACCACTGGTCCAGGGTCGACTGCAGCGTCGTGAGAATTCTTTTCACCTCGTGAAAGCTTTGCTTGGACTTGCGTAGTCTTGTGATGGCTCGGGCGATCCGGCCGGAGATCTGCGCATGCTTGACAACGTGGACAAAATAGTCCAAGTTCGTTGCATTGCCGTCAATGGGTTTCTCGGGCAGTTGACAGGTGATGTCGTCGTCATCGATTGCCTGCACACAGCGTAGTCACGCAGGTCAGAAAACATGTAAAGTCTTACACAATGTACTTGTCAGCTTACCAGCGGCCGTGCAGATCGATAGACGATGTGTCGTTCGTAGACGAACAACGACCACCATACATGACTGCGCAGTTGTAGCGCCGTATCCGGTAAGTCCCAGGCTGCCGCGGGCCTCGTATGGAGGCCTTTGGACTCTGCCAGTTTCATGGCGTTGAGACATAGCATCCAGTCCAGCGCTGGGCAGCCAATGCATTCAACGTACATGCTCTGATATCATCAATCCGTGTCCTGTCAGGGGCGAGGAGAAGGTGTCCAACGCTTACCATTGCAGCAAGTGCCTGAATCGCCATCAAGCTCGTCCGGCAATAAAGCAATTTTGAATGAACCGAGAGAGCGTTTTGGAAGTATCCCCACCCCGGACCACGTGCGTAATGATAGTCGGCATAGGACTTCTTCCAGGACTGCACTCGCCAGCCGGCCGCGTAGATAATGTACCGCAACGCATACCATGCTGGGTCCTGGTCCACTGTCGGCGTGTGCTCTTGTTGAAAATGGGCCCGTAACAGGTTTTCAAATTGTGGACGGTACACCAAGCCGATGCTGCCTTCGACTGATTCTTCAAAATATGCACGGGTGTATGCCCATGCGTTCGCCTCGCTCGGTTCTGGCTCCTTTGCTGTCGTGGTGAGATCTTCCAGCTTGAGTCGGTGGCATACATCGCTTGCTAGTTTTCTTGCCGTTTTTTCAAAATCGGTACTTCCTGTCCTGCGACAAACCCAATCTATTCCGGGCTTTGAGCAAATAGAAATGAATGACCCGAGCCCTGTCGTTGATGATTAGGCCACATTCCTCTTTCCGCCGAGGAAGCTTCACGAAGACATACCGTGGTACTCAAATGTCATCTTTGAGAGCTTGTTAGTAATGTGCTCTGCCGGAGCCTGTTTTTTTTGGGGCGGTTTAACGTACCTCCTCCTCTGGAGGTCGCATGGAGATGCCATCGTCTTCCAGTGTGCTGGAGAAGCTGGACAGCGTTGGCGTTGAAGGAACTGGAGGATCATCACTGACTGGGGCGGATGACTCGCGCGGAATGTATTGTTGGTTGTCCACAGCACGGCCGTCGTCAACCGCGACGGAAGGCATAGGGGAATTCCTGCGATAGATGTTGGAACCCCAACCGCCGTCGGGACGGATATCCTCTTGTTCGCTACGCGAGATAAACGGCGACTGCTGGAATGTCTGGGGTTCGTAGCCGACATTGGGAACTGAGACAGGCTCAACCACGGCTTCAGGTGGTTCGCGTGGTGGCATATCCTGGACCGACCCGATCAACGTCTCATCTGTATGATTGTAAAATGTCTCCAAGTGAGATAGTCTCTCCTCCATGACATTGAAATCGCCTTTCCGTGCCCCTGCTCTACGACGAGGACACGAGGTGTAGAGACACTCTTGATGGAAGTCCTGCCATAGTCAATACAAGACAGTGTTAGATTAGTCGCTGGAATCATGCTGGCTACTAGTTGATCGACCTACCAGACAATTTGTGCATGGACGTCCGCCATTACTTGCGATGCATTAGTCGAGGTGGTCTTAGCAGTGAAAAGAGCATGTCCATACCACTTGATCTTCTTTGCGCGGCATGAATTGCAGGCCGTCGCACACCTTGCGCGACGTCCCAAGGAGCCCGACATTTTTCTTCTACTTGGGCTTGATTGTGTGATTAGATGGTGGATGATGACGGGAGTGCGTTATTGTCAGCCAGGTAGAGTGGATAGCAGGGTAGATTGAGAGTGGATGGTGGAGGCAGAGGAGAAACCATGAGGTCGAGGCACATGCAGTGGAGGCGCAGGCACAGGTTGGAGGCGATGGCGGGGGCGGAGGCGAAGGTGAAAATGACCAGGTGCATAGACGCACATCAGGTCAGGTCGGGTCAGGCGTTGTGCATTCCTTGATCAAGTCGATCGCAGGCCGTGGAGACCCCACCATCTTCACCTACGAGCAGCACGGACTGACCTGGAGCCTTGCCGGACATGAGGGGGACACGGGGGACTCAGGGGCCACAGGAGTGACCGGGCACCTGGGTTGGCGCCTAGGTGCCCACCTGGAGGTCAGAGCAACTAATCACTAGGGACTGCCTTGAGCGTCTCTAGGCGGGGTCAATGCCTAGCGCTCCCTAGTGCGATGCTCCGATTAGCCCGTAGCCACACCCAAGCCGAGATTGACTTTTACTCGAGTCGACGCCATCGATCAGGATGGTTTGAATCAAACCATGAGCAAATCATAGTTTCGCCATTACAATGTCAATACGACAATCTGCTCAGAGATCAGGCGAGTACAAGCTCAAAAGCCAGCCTTGCCGCAGTAGCTACTAGATTCTGACGCCGAGGCTAACCAATCTGTCGTGTAATGCATTCACATGAAGGAGTTGGACATGATATCGATGGCAGGATTCCCTAGTACGTCGCCGAAAGACGTGTCGTCCCCATCCGGCCATTGTAGCAGGGCTCCCCAGACTTCATGGTCAGGATCCATGGTATGAAACAACTCGTGCTGTGTGGTTAAGCACGTTAGATAGACGACAAGTAAATCATCAAAGAGCAAAGCATGAAGAGCGGCACCCTTACGTTGTCAGATGGTGCTGCGTTATCAAACCGCACAGATTCGTCAGCTTGTGTCGCTGGGCCGTCGAGCTGGCCGGCGACATGACTCTGTGAAAGGGGTTCTTTGGTAACGAACCCGTCCCCTCTAGCCGCCCTCGAGACGGCTAAGCGTGCCAGGGTCGTGACCTCCCTAGCGAAAGGGAAGTCGAGGTCTGCCGATGCGAACCCGACATAGTCGAGGTGTCCGGTGACTGTGTCCATGTGCTGAATGTCGGCGGCAACTGTAGGTAGCCTCGGAAATTGAAGCACGTAGATGAACAAGGTGCTTAAAGCGACCAGAGGCCACTCATAGACTAGACTACCACGACATCGTTAGATTCATCTTCAATCAGTATCCTGGAAACGTACGCTTTGGGACTGGAACGAGTAACATTAATATGTTGCAGACATCGAATGATACTCCGCGCCGCTTCGGCCACGATTTCCGTACTGTTCCAGACATGTTTGCGGAACCTATCCTTGTCGTACTCGCCCAAGAGGGCAGGTACTTCATTCCACGGACGAACAAGCATCGAATGCAGCAGGATCAGCCGGGCTTGGTAGCCACAGTAGAGGAATAAGGCCTTGTAGGGGTGGATATCTGTAGGCAAGGAATGGCTAGCAGGATCAATCTTGACCGAGGAAGGAAGTGACGAATACCAATCTCCAAGGGCCGAGTCCAACTCGGAAATGGAATCCACGATCTCCTGAAAGGTAGGAGTTGACCTTCTCAACCTTTTCGTCATCCTCCAAATACGCCCAGAGATTTGGGCCAACGTGATAGAGCCGATAAAGTAGTCCAGATCGGCATGATTGCCCCCTAGCTGATCGGTCGGTAATTGACACGTAATGTCATCATCGTCAATGGACTTGACCTCATGTTAGTCGCATTATACTTGCGCGGTGCTTGTCCCGGTATTGCTGATCACTTACCAGTGGTCGCCCAGACATGAAAGCTGTATGTCGCTCATAGATATATATCGA